AGCGAGGCGGCCTTACAACATTATTAAAGCGCAAGTAAAAGCCGCCGGTCGTGCAGAAAGGGACGGCCCGGCCGGCCGGCCGGAAAGAGAGAGACTTTTTTTTCGAGGAACGCGAATCTACTTTCTCCGATGCGTGTCCACATGGCGAACGGCTACGAAGACGAGCGTCGTCGCTCAGAATCGTTTAATTCGGCAGTGAAGCGTTAAGGAAGCGTACATCCGGTGCACGTGAGTGCCGTAAGTCTGGGTCATGAATCCGAGAGGATCGGCAGTCGTCACGTGTGGCAAGGAGAAATGTTTTTTTTTTCTTTCGCGATACCGGTAAATGATATGAACTCAAAATAACCCTGTGGTTTTCTAATAATTAGTTTAGTATTTCTTTCAAGATCATTAACACGAACGCCAAGCATTTATGTTCGATAATCGTCGAAAAATTGTTCAAAATTACAACTTTCGATTTTTTAAATCATATATCTCAATTATATCTGGCAATTATATTTATATATAATGTGTCTTATGAAGTGTCGTGTCTTGACAAACTTGATTCTATGAAATTACGACGTCGTATTACTCGGCAATGATTAGGTTTGATCGGTGCGTTTAATAATATGTTGCGAATACTTGCGATCGACAAGTTATGTCTCTTTCATTAGCAAAGAGTGACAACTAAAGGCGACAAAAATGATTGGATTTACCGTAATCTGATTATAGCTCACTATTCTTTCATCGTGTTGTAACGGGAAGAGAGCTATTTATCGTCTTGATGGCGTATACAGCGTTTAATTAATTGCTCCGGTGAGATATCGGGACGCAACGCTCGATTAACATAAATAAAAAAAATGTGAGAGGACTTTCGGTCGTGAGCGGATACCCGACGAATCAACATATAGAAAGCATCAATGCCGCAGGTGCGGGTTGTATGATCTCGTTTATCGATCGTCAATCATTCAGGGAAAAAAAACGAAGAAAGGACGGGAGGAAGAGAGAAAGAATACGAGACTAGCGACCGTCCTGGCAACTATAAAATAATAATGGGATAAACGCATACATATGTGCATAGTAGGCTGCCTAATAACGCGCGGAGATTCGACCTGCTTTTTTTGGGTACGCCCTCCGCTCGCATACTCGTCGTCGTCGTCCTAGATGGGCGGCAGGACCGAAGGGACGGGCATGCGCGTGCGACGTATAATTAAAACCGCCTCCGAGGAATGCGCATCCGCGTATCCGCGCGACGGAGAAAAGCAGCACGAGCGAAAAATTGGCCACGGTGTCCGTCGTAATATCCATGCCGGTCGAGATTATCGATAATCGAATGTCCATCACTATTCAGAGGATAGAAGAGCTGCGGCCGTCGCTTTGGTCTTCGGTCGCTCATACACGGTGGTCCGCGTCTCGCCGTTTCGATTTTAGGACAACTTAATTTTTGTAAGTTAATTCGCCGTTTGACTCGAATCTTCGTTTCGCGAGGTGCTGGCTAGGGAAGCACTCGATCTTAGATTTATCTCAGATCTTGTCATTAAAATCAAGATCGCAGGTTGCGTTATACATCATACACATGTAACACGAGATCGCGGTTGAATCAAACGCGCACTGCGTGTGTTTTTTTCTGCATGGAAGCCCGTTTAATTAATAATTTCACAGCCGATTAATTTACTTGATCGTCTAATCGTTAGTTTACGCGACTTTATAACCAGATCCGCTCGTGTGGTCGCGACATTTAACGTGGCGTTTACGTCGAATTTAACGCGATTTCCGGGATTAATCGGGACCGCGATCGCGGTTCTGCGTAATTATTTTATTAATTATTTTCCTTGCCGTTCACGGCGAGAGTAAATGACGCAGCATGACGATATTCGACCGCGTACGTATACATAATTCATGATCGCTCGAGACATAGACACACTTCCTCTACCCTCGACAGCCTCGAAAACGAATGGGTCACCCTGTACCTATCCTATCGTCGGTCGGCGCGTATAATGCGATGCATAAATGCATGGAGGCACGCACTGCGTGCGCGCTTAACATAGATACGTATCTGACAATAAGAAACGCATCGACACGCCGACGCATCGCATCGTGACGCCCGAGAACGACGTGACGATGCAGCACACGTATCGTTGCTTCTACATGCATCACACAAACACACGCATTCCCTTTTTCATTTCACGCCGGGTATCATCTCTCTTCTCGATTCGAGCCAAGTGACTTATCGATACGTAATGCGTGATACCGTCGGACGAGAGATCGATAAAAATTCGTTGCATAGAATGTGACATTCTCTACTATAGGAAGAATCGCTTGCCGCGATAAGTATTTTAATTATATATCCACTTTAAGCCTCTCTTATACATCATACTGAGGCGACTTAAATATAATTGCTGTTTTATATGCAAAATATATATATGAGTTTTCTCATTAATAGTTAATGAATATAACGACATGACCATCAAATAAAGTCATCACTCAATTTAGGAAAAAACGTATAATTACATATGTATGTACGAACCGAATATACATATATGTAAATATTATATTAATTTTATAGGATCATAGGATTATAATTACTGTAAATTAGAAGAGTAGCTGGACGATGCTAATGTTTTAAAATTCTTTACCTTTGGAAAGTCTAGTTTCCTCTGAGACGAAGATCTGATCTTCTCTTCAGAAATTGCCTCATCCACATACCTTATCGCTTGTTTTATAGCTCAACATGTCGTCGTTCTTCTAATCTTTTAGGCTCGGATAAGAATGGGTCGTTGACCTGTTCCAGCGACTGAGTTAAACTCAATTTCGATGTTCTCTAATCCGAGTTCAGTTTTTTTTTAAATTAATCTATTAGTTCATTTATCATATGTACGCGAAGTAATTTATTTATGTCACGCTACGTGCTTCTATATTTAAACTTTATGTAATAATTTCAAATTGATGTAAAGGAGGTAAAATAAATTCAGATTTATTATAATTAAAATCCTTCTATATATCATAGCAGTTCACGCATTAGCTAAAAATACGTGATTTCATTATTCCATAAAATTGCGTACATTTTTTTGCTTATAAAGAATCATCGATAGGTACATTCCAATTCAGCGTTAAGATATTTCGAGCGAAAAGGCACTCTCGATCTTCTCTCGCATTTTCCGTGCCTTCATTCTCGAGTTTGCATTGTGCGAAGAGAACGTTGCAGTCTACGTGCCTTTGAAATTTGAAGTATGCTCGCGAGATCGGCGTACAATTTATCGCGATAATTGTTGGCCGGCCGCTGCGTTAAAGCCAGGAGAGCTCTGCTTTCCTGTGATAGCGCACGTAGAGACGTAGCAATTAAACCGGAACAAATTGGTTGTTAGGAATTGAGCTCTCTCGTACACTGCGCGCGGCAGCGCGGCGGCAGTTTTATTGTGATTACACGGTGCCTCCGATAGATACGTATTCGTAGCTCGGAGGCAAGCTGATTGACTCTCGTCGATAATTTCCATCCGCCTGCGTGGCCTGGAAGACCTTGCCATTAAAGGGCCTTGGAGGAACGCTGCATCCCGTCCGTCACTCTTTTGCGTATCTCACATACGCAAAACCACGAGCTCATCCTTCCTCCACGCGCGCGCGCGGTGCTTTTTGCTCCAAAACCGTGTAATACAATTTCACGAAGCGCGGCACGTTTATTACGGCGAAATTAATTACTACGTGCCAGATGTAACGCGCTATTCTATCCGCGGACCGGTTTATTTCCATTTTATTATCGCGCCCGCGAAGAGAGCTCGCAAAGAGAGCATCCGCATATCGAGTAGCCGCGGAGGAGTTTCTCCCTCTTTGTCTATAACTGTATCATAAGCCGATTAATATTAAAGCCCTTAGAATAACTTATGCGAATGTGGGCCGCGTGGAATTTACATTACCGGCTTTGCTAGCTACCGTAACGTTATCGACGACCTGCCGACCGCCTTTGTGTTGTGTGTGGAAGTTTTGAGGATTACCAAGCTCATTCATATCGAATGTGCTTCTTTGGATGATGTCCTGATTGGGCATAATGCTGCGTCATAAGTCAACAGATAAATATACGCTCCTCTCGAGGACGTGGTCTGGCCTCGAACCGTTTAGGGTCTTTGACATCATCGAGCTACAAATGTTCCTGACAATCGGTCAGAATACTTGGAGAGTGCGCCGTCAGCGAAATAACTATTTCCGTCCCTAACTGTCGAGAAAATTACCGGGTTCAATGAAATGTAATGGATATTCAGACAAAATTGTCTTTCTCGCAATGAAGCACGGACAAACTTACTTTATTAACTGCAGCAATAAAATATTTTATATATTTTCTGTTTTCCAAAGAAAGATCATCACTGAATAAATGCGTCAGTTATGGCTATAATACGATCAATTACATTTTTAGTTTATTTTGTCACTCATATTTAATTTATGATCTTTTGCTTATTGTTTTGCGTATCATTAACTATTAAATATAAATATAATAGTAAGGCTCATAAGATTAGAAATCAATCGAAGAAAACAGTATGTACATTACAATTCGTTCTTCTTTACTTAAAAAGTATAGAATATATGAACACCAACATTTTGTTACGGCTCCACGCTCCATTTTTCTTCGATTGATATTAAATATAAGTTTGAACACTAGTGTAATGTAATATTAGTGAAGCGCTAAATAAATATAAATCACATTTTAACTGTGATAAATCCCGAATAATTTTGCGAACGTATCATAGTAACAATGATCCAACGGCAGTTATTGAATCGCAAGTGTGCGAAAGTATTCTTACGATAACATAAAGTATATAAGCTACGTATGAAGGCTTTGGGTTAAGTGACAGGTGATGGAAGCGACAGATCGAAAATAATGAATCGAAAAGGAGCGTATATCGCGCCTCGAACTCAAGTCATCTCTCTTCATACATTATACATGGTCCCCCTTCCCCCGTTCTCTTTCTTGTATATGTTGGTCATTGTATTTTAAAAGCCAATTCTACCGCGCCCTTTTTGCTTCCTTTCAGATCCGCGGGGTACTCGAAAATTGGGACAGCGGTGCTTTCAAGTCGAGTGAGTATGCACATATACATGGAGTTTCTTAGCTATCGTTGCGCGATTATCGATTACGATGCCAAGCGACCTTAACGAGTTTATTATGCCCCGCGAGAGAACGGCCCGAGACAAGCAGTTCTCGGCTCTGCACATCTTAGGAAACTGGTAAAGTGGAACTTATCAAGGGCGACCGTGCGCCCTTCCCTTCGATAATCGTGCGCGCGTCGAGTATCTTGTCCTTTCGTTTCTTCCTTCTTTTCTTTCTTTTACGTTTTCTGATAATCGCGCGTGATAAACAGCGAGAGCGATCAACAGGGGCTGTTGCGCCTTGCTTAAAGAAAACGCGCTAATTAAGCGGTACCCCCCCCGACCGAGATTTGCCATGCTTTATGCATTAGGCGAGTCGGATGAATCGTTCTCGACTAGCTCGCGCTCCGCTGCCGAGTACTCTTCATCTCGCGTTGCCACTATTACCGTGAAATGACTATCACCGGCCATTTCGAATTTACATTAATACGACCGCCGGTCCTTTATCGTGCGGGACGACGACGGCGAATCGTAAATCGGCGCCGCGGCTCGTGTGTGCATTCCGCGAAGGGAATTTATTCGTGCCGTTCGAGTGTTATCTCGAAACACGATACCGCGTATATTTTTTCACGCCCGCCTGGCCGTGACTCACGCGTGCGAGCGAGCATTTTTTACACGCGGCAGCCGCCCTCCCGAGGGTGTAATTGCGCGATGTCAATTCGTGGCGCGTACGTACTTGGGGAGGCCTATGGACTACCGTAAATTCGCGATGCGTTGAATCGGCGAATTACACGGTGCAGGCCGCATTTCACGGCGGGAAACGGAACGCGGGCAAAAATGTTAATTTCGAAAGTAAATCATTTTCCAATAGAAAAAAAAAAGGAAAGAGACGAGGGTATGTATCTTCGTCCGCGAAAAACAGACGGAACAAAATGGAGGTATGTATTAATAATTCCGATTTGATTTTAATTTCCTTTTTAGCGCCACGGTTTACTTCGCTGCACGCGATACACTATTTTATTTTCTGCTTTGCGTTTACCGCATCGCATTTATGCGCGCGTTGGACGGTACTGTTAATTACGGAGGAGAACGTAAAACCTTCCGCCGCGCCGGGTGATATGACAAGCGCAATTATTTTACGGCCGGCGAAAGATAGTCTCATGTAATTTAATAACGGAATTCGGTGCTTTTTCCATACGCCGCGGCACAGACAGATTTTAATTATGGCGGTGTACGCTGTCAACAGGAGACTTATTCCCCGGCCCGTTTTGGAACTCTTACTGGGAATACTTGGAGAAGTACAGCGAGGCTAGGAGGACGCTGGACGAGTTGAGGGCAACCGAGGACCCCTTACTGCACTTTCTCAGTCTTAGACAGGCAGCCGCGAGGCACTCGCCCTTGTCCTTACTTCTTCTACCGGTGAGTTATCAATAATGCCATGAACTTATAACTATATAACAGTCTTTAGTCTGTAGGCAATTTTTAATAAGTCAGACAGCATTATAAAATCACTTGCTCGGTTTATTATGTCGCTCGATTTACAGTTTTATCGCTTGCTCCGTTTCACAAAACACAATCCGACTCGGCAGTCCCTTTCGGGTACTTTTATTAATTAATACCGGCAGCCACGATCACAGTCTCTCGAATCGCGGGCAGACCGTTCGGAGTATCTTCTCCTACTGCTCCAAATCGGATCCTGTCGCGTCAGCCTCATTCGACAGGTGGAGCCATATATTGCAAATCGGCGCCTATACCATATGTCTATCCCAATTCGGCGCTTACACTTACATCTACCGTAACTCGGCGCTTATACAAGTCTTATCAACAAAAATATTTCGATGCTAAGATTAATTCATTGATAAGCGAGAACATTGATAAGATCACCATATTTACCGTGTGAAATGTTGAGTTCGCGAGCAATTCAATGTTCGAATTTCTTTTAACTAAAAAGATGATTTTTTGGGATTATTAAAAGTTTAGTTTACATTTATGAAATGTCAAAGGAGGTCCAAGGAAAGATTGATTTTATCCGTGCTCGCGCGTCCATAACGTTGTAAATCACGTCACTATTGCTGGCTTAATCGATACCACGCGTGTTCCATTCCATCCTGTAATATACGCCTACGTTTACGTTTGACTAATAAAGATTCGGCCTCATAAATGGTAATTGCAAGCATTGCCTTTGGTTTTAGTCTGAATCTTGGGTACCGCGCGACTGAAGTATTATACTGTACATATAAGAAAGTATGTGTCGAGGGAGAGCTCGGGGGGAGGGCCGGTTGAGAATAGTGAAATGAATCTCACGAGAGAAAGGTGGAATTCCCCTCTCGAGAGGAGATACGTCGTCTAATTAATCGTGCCGTCATTAAGTTTGATTACATTAATTTGTTTCACGAGCCTTTCAAGTGCCGAATATCGCGAATCTCCCTTCTTCCTTAGGAGAACCGTGAATTAAATTACGGTTGACGCGCGCGGATCTCACTAGACGGCTGAATTGCTTGACGAAGCCGGAAATCGAGTTCTCGTGAGACGTAAAAGCTATCGCGAGTTTCGTATTCTCACTTCTGGACACTTGACTCTTCAGTGAAAGTCTTATCTCGTACCGCTGACGCAACGGTGCGCGAGAGAGCATCATCTTCGCTTTAACCTTTCGAGATTTTCATATACGAGCGCGCAATGAGAGCTATTCATTTCCTCGATTGCTTCATAATACGATCAATTTACAATAAAGTTCATTTTTTTACGAACTGAAGATATCAGGTGTGAATAAATGAACAAAACACCGCGTTAATCCGATAAGAACTTTCTATATATATATGTATGATTAGCCGAAGCAATAAGCGCTTCACCTTTTCATCTAGATGTTTCGAACTGATTGAAAGCGTGGTTTAAATTAATTCTACCAATAAGCTGATTGTGTAAAAAAAATAGAAAAGGAAAAAAGAAATTTGAGACGCTTGCCGTACATCAGTAAGAAGCAACGCGTGTGCGAGATGAGCTATGTGACAGGCTTATAACGGGCGTAATGATCGGAGGTCCGGAACGTACCGATGGAATCGGCGCGGCGGCCGCGACTTTAACACCCGTTGAAATATAGACTTGGGTCTTGTAAGTCACGCAGGTACGCAGAGAAGAACCTGCGTGTACCTACCCACCTCTAATGCGTATATGACGTTGATAAGTGTCGGCAAATACGCTTTCGTTATTGGGCACATTGTTATCTAAATTTGAAATCCAGTAACCTCAAGCGCCGTCTTTACCGCACCAGGTAAGCCTTTTAATTGCCTCATAACGAAGTTTTGCAATTATTGATAATAGGATATACCGGTTTGCTTATTATCTTCTTACTCTCGCTTCACGGCTTAGCAAATAGATTTTGCAGACTTGCGAAATCTTTTTGCAAACGAGTTTCGAGTAACGCGAGCCTTCTGCGCTTCGCGCATTTGTGATTCGACGTGTGTTCGCGCGTCGTCGTTAAGCGAGGAACGTTTAGATGCGGAACGTTCAATGAGATGTTAGGTTATCAGATTCGCCGAGAATGTTAACTAACTGTGAAATTTCACCTGACCATTTCTGCACCTGTATAATCGCGACGGCAAGCTACTAGTGTCCTGCAGCCTACGCCGAGCGTCCGACAGATTACGAGATGCCCTGTTACACGTGGGTGTCCGCAACGGTCCGCGGTATCCGTTTGTAGTACAGGTACCTATATGAGGTTTATGCCGCGTTGATACGTTATTTACTTATATCGTCGCGAAGTCTGGGGAATAGCGGCAGGCATACGTAAGAAATTGCGGTACGTCGTTACGAAACGCTGATCTTGATCTCCCGAGCACCTACGCGCGAAACGATGTACCGGCTTATTACAGCTATCCGCTATGTAATACATAAATCACGCACGCCCGAGTGTTTGGAATACTTTCCGGAAAAATATTTTTCTTTTCGTGATGACCCACTAACGCCCACGACCATCTTGCGCGATAATTTCTTCTTGGCAGGTGGTTAAGTAAATATTCTAGTAATATAAATTTGCTCAAGGTATCATCATATCTTATTAGAAATTTTTTGAAATTGGAAAATTGAATTTAATTCATACAGTACTTTAATTACATATAAGAAGAGAGTCGCGTATAATTTCTTTCAAATAAAACATTTTTATTTATTTTAAAGATAACGCAAACACACAATACCTCGTATAATTGTGTGTATTTAGTGCTTTCTATTTTTCTTCATATTTCTGCCGTACATGAAACAATATTTTCCTAAAGACGTAGATAAAAAATCTCGATTTTGGAAATGTAGCACAAATGCGTCGTTATTCGTCGTAGACAGTTACGCAGCATTCGGTATGCATCTTACGTGTGTATGTATGACTCTTGCAGAACCAGTCATTGTTTCTCTTTTGTACTTTAGCGAGTTGCAGAACGACGAGTGATTTACGAGGTGCACTCGTCCTACCGCGGTAATATATGCCTCGCCGAGGGGAAGTAAAGGAGAGATAATTTTGCAAGAGAAGTAGGCTTAAGAACACGCTCTGAATGCTTTAAAGTCCAAATTGATTTTCCAATTTTCTTCCACCCTGTTGCTCCTGATTTTGACAGTTGATTGAAGACCCTTTTACAAAATAATTTTTTTTAATTCTTATTTTTTTAATTATTTTAATTATGCTACATTAATTAATTTATTATTAAATAAAATATTAGTAAATTTTTATTTACTAGATTAAAATTCTCTATACGTTTTTGCAAATATTCGATAATTTATCATTTCGCATAATAATATATTTGTCTGTTCGCTGCGATTACGCTCATCCTTGATGAAGAATCCGAGTAAAACCGCTTGTTGCTTCACCGTTCTCCATGAATTGGTGCGTAGCGACAATCACCAGATCTTATCTTCTTTATGTTTTCTTTTGTGTTTCTCAATTTAATTATTAAATTGATCTAATTTATTTTTCTATGCACTTGAAAACCTCCAGCAAAATTCTCATTGTCATTATCGCGATTATAATATCCGGTGCTTGACCAAACCGAAATTTTATACCAACGAAGAGAGGGAGATTTAGAAGAATGTTCATTTCGTCGCGTGGGATGCAGAGTCGTACGTGAACTTCAGTTAACCGTAAACTATGCGTGTACTGAGAGGAACTTGCGACGTAAGTCTGAGAAGGTTGAATATGCCAAGCGTTGATAACGGTTTCCTCGGTTCGCGCAATATATATATGCGCTTGTACGCGCAACAGGTCGTGATTCTGTACGTCGTGTCACGAGGATGATGAATGACCTCGCGTCGTCATCGATGATCATCGCGCCGCGGTAATCTGATGTAAGTCGACAGGTCGAACTTTGCCTTTTCCTTGCGGTCGAATCCTGGCTCGTGCGCAGCAACATATGTTAAGACGCGAATACGCGAATTATATGAATTTGTACTGGTTGGAAAATATTTCTGATCTTAAAATGCATGCGTGGAACTTATGAGGGATCCGCTCAGAAAGGATCTAATAAGTATGTGGATAGAAGAGTTTATATAAATGTTAAAGATTTATCTTCTTGAAAAGCGATGTGGAATCAAGAATCGAAACATGATTTATCGGTAGGAAATTAATGAAAAATTCTATAAACAAGTTTGCGCTTCTTGTTGGTCTGTGAAATTAAGGTTGTATGACCCCTTAGAAGAAAAAATGCCAAATTCTTCAAACTTTGTCAGGTGATGAGTATTATAATAATAAAGCATTGTGCCAAGTTTGAACAAGTTTGCGAGGCCCGTTCAAAAGTTATAACAATTTGAATTTAACATGGGTTCTTATGGGAATTCATCAAGTTTCACTGTTTTTTCAACTTTATTTAAGAAATTAATATCGAAGAAAATATGGCATCCTTTTAAAACTTTGCAGAAATATTAATAAACATCTTACAAACAAATTAGAACCAAAAAAATTATGACTTCGAGGATATTTTCTGAAATATTGAATAAAAACCAAACAGAGAACAGTCTCGCTTGGTCTCACTGAACTCGTAAGTACAGAGATCCGGCAACAGCGCACTATGACGTCACATTAGAACCTCTCTCTCCGTCACTCTCCGTAAAGGATAACAAATACTACAGAGGTCCGTTACTTTTTCCAATAGAGCCTCCTGTGTATCGAAAGTGTGCTCTGAGCACGTGTAATATACAGACGCATCGTTTGAGGTTAGTTTTCGCTTGCGCTCCGAAAATGCCGAAAGTAAAACGTTACATGTGGAAAGGAAAAGTTGTCACTGAAAAAGTGTACAATCAACGGTTAGCACAGACAAATACTGGGAAACGTTTGAAGACACGAGTCGAAACCACACCAGATGATTGTAACAATTCCATGGCACATGTAACGTTTTACTTTTGGCATTTTCGTAGCGCAAGCAAAAACTAACCTCAAACGTTGC